AGGGTATAGTAGAAGGCACAATTAATCAACTTGCTTGAAAGATCTGGGTGAAACTCAATTGAAGACGAGATATTTTAGGTAGGATTTGAAAAATGAGGAGGCGTTTGAGAGGCAAAAAATAGCAAGTTAGTGAAAAGGGGAGAGAGCATTTCAGACAGCGTGGATAACCTGTGCCAAAGACGTGCAGAATATGTGTGAATAAACTCGGGGCTGGGGCCTGGCAGGGGAAAGACAATGGGAACAAAGGGAAATGGGCGTGCAGCTATCATGAAGTTGGACTGAAGGTTACAGTCCAATCTTATGTGGTGGCTTTGATAAGTCTGGATTTTTTCCCAAAGCCAAAAAATGGAGTCATTTCTGTCAAAAACAGTAGAGGACACATGTGAGATTTACTGTAAGGAGAGTCCCAGTAGCGTGTGGAGAGGAGAGAAGCAAGCCCGGAGACACGGTGACCTGTTAGGTGAGCAGTGTAATATATTCCAGGTCAGAAACGATGGCGCTTAAGTTAGGGCAGCAGCAGCCAGAATGCTGAGCGAGGCTGAGAACACAGCCTGGTAGTGGGTGGAGGACGCAGGACAAGGAGCCTGACCTCAGCCTTTGGCACGGCTGGTGAGTGAATAGTAATGCCACTGCAGAGGATGATGCAGAGACTTTGAGGTGTGAATAGGTTTGAATGAGAAGACACTGCAGAGAGTGTTCAGGGTTCAAGGGGGCGGGGAAGTCCAGGAGGTGTGAGGACACAGGACTGGCTCTCCTGGAGGCAGATCTTCACCAGGGAAAACACACCTGCTGCTCAGGACGAGAGGGCTAGGAAAATAAATGTGTAGTCATCACCCTCCAGGTTGCAGTGGAAGCCACGGGGTGGATGGGGACACAGCGACAATGAGATCCGCTCTCCACTACGACACTGTGTGTGCTACACCCACTCGACAGACTTGCCCATCGTCATTAAGCATGGCCTCAGTGAAGACTAGGAGGTGGTATGGAAAAGTGCCTGATAGAAGATGAAAAGATCAGAATGTTTGCAAAATAACATGGACGGACCACAGAAACGTCATGCTGTGTGGAAGAAGCCAGACACAAAAAGAACATACTCTATGTTTCCATTTATATGAACTTCTATAATAGACAAAGTTAACCTCTGGTGATAAATCAGGTCTGTGTTTGTGCTTTTGGAAGAGGGGGGCTACTGAAAGCAGCCCTGGAGGGTGGGGGGTTTCTGGGATGGGAGACATATTCTGTGCCTTGATAAAGGGGGAGGCTATATGTGTTTGTCAAAACTGATGGAACAAGAAGCACTCCATTGTGTGTAAATTATACCTGTTACAAGGTCAGAGTACAAACTTGTATCTATTCATATAAATAAAGAATATACGAAAATAAAAGTATGTCATGATAGTGGAGCTATGGCGATTTTCCTCTCCAAGATTTTAATTTTCATACATTGTTTTTAAATAAAAAGGAACTCTAAAGCCTCAAACACCCATAACTATTGGTTAGGCACCCATAAAAACGGAAAGCAGATTATATATTTTTCCAGAGGGAAAAGGAAAGAGTCTCTGCAATTAAGGAGTTACCATCTGAAGACAATGGGGAGACACGAGATATAGTAAATGCATGCATGGAAGGATCGAGGGCTCACTGGAGTGAAGGAAGCCTCATGGTTGTGTTCTAAGGTGTCGAGAGCGGGGTTTGGAAGGAGCAAAGGGAAAGCTATTCCTGGATGAGGATTTCGGCACAGACAGCAGAAGCGTGCAGGCTGCAGGGTTGGGCAAGCTGGGTTAGCCGGGCAGCCCAGGCCACTTGTCAGGGTGGCGAGTGAGAGGACAATGGGAACATCAGTCAACAGAGCGGACGAGCTAGGCTCCGAAGGGCAGTAGCGCAGACTCCATTTGGGCTGCAGCGCTCCTGAGTGTATGAGCTGTTCTCCGTTCTTTGCAGTGCTTAGTGTAAGGCAATGGTCGGCAAACCGCGGCTCGCGAGCCACATGCGGCTCTTTGGCCCCTTGAGTGTGGCTCTTCCACAAAATACCACGTGCGGGCGAGCACGTACAGTGCAATTGAAACTTCGTGGCCCATGCCCAGAAGTTGGTTTTCGGCCTGGGTGAGTCTATTTTGAAGAAGTGGCGTTAGAAGAAGTGGGGGTGTCAGTCGGTCGGGCCATGGGAGACGCGGAGCAGGAGGGCCGCAGGATATGCAGCGCAGGGAGGTGTGTGCGATTCATGCCCGAGTTGAGTGAGCCAGTCAGTCGTGAATTTAAAGTCGAATTTAAAGTTGAATGTACCTACCTATATAGTTTAAGTTTAAAAAATTTGGCTCTCAAAAGAAATATCAATCGTTGTACTGTTGATATTTGGCTCTGTTGACGAATGAGTTTGCCGACCACTGGTGTATGGGAACCTCACCTCAGGTTTCACTGAGAAGGTAAACAAAAGTTACCCAGTGGGAGAGACACACCACCGGCCCCTCCTTTATTTTGGAGGGAAAAGGTGGATGCTTAGATGATGGTGACAGGGGCGGCTCTCTCTTCTTGAGTTCCCATGATGGACCGGGCACTATGCCATTACTGCAAATATGTCACCATTTAACTCAAGTTCCCCAACAAGCCAGCAAGTACACATTAGCTTCACATCACTGAGGAAACTGCATTCAAAAACTAACAAATGAATGGACAAAAACCACACCCCAAGCATGTCTACTGTATCAGGCAGGGATCGATCATGTCCCACTTCCCTTTGAGTATGAAAAGTAAAACAGCCTGTCCTGGGGGGTCTCTATTAATACTTTGCCTAATTAACATTCCTTTCTCCAGTGCAGTCTATGATGTCACACAACAGCAAATGTGGCTCATTACTACCCAGCTGCAAACTGCATACATCTTAACACCTACTACATGTCTACTAGCGGTTAGCACTTGGTGCTAAATATTTTACAACGTGTTACCGCGTGTAATCCTCATGACCACCTTTGAGGCAGGCAATTGGGACAGGCCTTTCACAGGGGATGAAACGGGACAGGAAACATGTCATGTGACTTGCCCCAGGCCTCCCGGCTACCAAAGAGTTGAACTTGGACCGTCTCACCACTTTGCACAACTGCCTCCAATTTTAAAACTGAGCTTTCAACTTCACCATGGGAACCTGTTTCTTTCTCAGTTCACGCTACAAACACTCAAACCAGCAGCTTTGAGAGCATCCTGCCTGCCTGCTTCATCAGAAGAACTATGTGAAAGCTTCTATTCTGCCCCCTTGCAGAATCAAAACCCCTTTCCCCAAATGCTTCACGCTGTTACCTGAGCAGTTCAACCTGATTCGATAGCCCCAGTGACATTCTCCGAGTCTGGCCTCGGGTAACCGAATGATACGGAAATGATACGGACGGACGGGCCAACCACTGCATCCTGACACTGATAACAGCAGGAGAGGACACCAGAGCACGCTCTTATCACAGGCGGAAAGCTGAGAGCGGGTGCCGAGGGTGAGGGCCACTTCCTGTCGGGCTGAGTACCTGGGTCCCCATTCAAATCATTAACTGTGCTCTCCACTAGAGAGGGTGCCCCATTCAAGCTGAGTGAATGAGAGCAGTGTTCCATCTCCCGTCTTGTCTTGGGAGACGCTGAAACATGAGCCCGCAGGAAGACTCATCTCCCCCGCACTGGGTTACAGTGAGTGAAACACACAAAAAGGGCCTCTGGCCGGATCTGCCTCTACAGCCGTTACATTACCCGAGGCCCAGCGAAGAGCACCTTAGGCTGGCCATGGGGGTGATCAGAAGCGCAGAAGCCCAGTTAAGTCCCAGGGCAGAGAGCCTGAAGTCTCGCGGAGCTGGTTCTCAGCTGTGCTTTTTGGGATCTGTTCCCCCAGAACTCTCAAGTCTTTGGGGTCCTGAAGTGGCATCTGTCTAGACGTGACTTTCCCATACAGAGCCCTTCATTTCCACAGCCCGGAATGAGGGCGGGAGCGAGGACGCCTGGCCAGCTATCAGAATCGGGGGCTTGGCGCTGCAGCGCAGGGAGAAGTGAAGAGGGAAGAGGCGCACAGAGAGGCCTTGAGCCCACGCTACGGCCATTGGGGCTTCGCCTGGGGGAAAGGAGTGTTCAAGTCCAGCACATTAGGCTGACAGTGTTTCAACTCTGGTCTCACCCCAAGCAAAATGAGCAGTTTCTCCCAGAACTGGGTGAACACGGTTTTCTCTCTGGCTGCTGCCTTTGCATTATTTGTACACATACCTCCACACGCTTTGTGTGGCGTCGTCAGCATACGCAGAAAACTGCAAAGGGCAAGGAATTCGCCTTTCAGTGAACATCCCCAGGCCTGGCTGAAGCTACAGCGAAAGCGGATTCTCTGGGGCTGAGGTGCCCACAGCACTCAGGGGACCCAGAGGCAGCAGCTCACTCCCACCCTGTGGCTGGGTTAGGGGAAGGCAGAACTGTCTGCTGCACGCACCACCCCGGCCCCCCAGGACTCTCCCAGGAGGGACCCGGACTGAAACAGAGGCCGGCCTGGAACAGCGGACCTGGGTGGCACATGGCTGCCTGTGGAACCGGGTCCCGATTCACCATCAGCCCCATCCAATAGGAAGATCAGCAAAGAAACGAGCCTTCTCCAGACACTTTACACTCACCCCCCACACCATTCCCCAGGAAGCGTGGCGCAATCCCTGTTATGAGGGGATTGTCTCACCACCCTTCAGTGGGAAAAGTGGTTCGGAAAATAATATGACGGAATGATTGCACAGGAACCCTCATGATTACAAAAAGGCGCCTGTCCCTGTCTTTAGGGAGAGGAATGCTTTGGTCATCAGCAGCTCTGCTAGGCTTTGTCAGAGCAGTGCCAGGAATTCTGTGAACTGCAGGTCAGGCTGCCAAGATTCAAAAGAAATGCCGATGGTAAGTGTTTGCAGGGCGATGCCAGAGGGGGCACCTCCAGCCACAACGCAGACGGGCAGACCACACTGCCTGCCCCTCGCCCCGTAACCCTCCCCAAGAAGAAAAGCTCTTACCCAGCTCTCCCCGGAGGCTCAGGAGCTCTTGCGACAGGGCTTTGTGCTGTTGCAGGGCTTCCTCCCGCTGCGGAAGACAAACATCAGGTTACTCCGGCTGTCAGGGGGTCCCTTTCAGCGAGGCGCACATTTGTTATCACCCAAAAGGAGAGACTCGGCACCGAGAGGCTGAGATGTGAATCGTTTAGGCTAACAGTGTGTGTTGTTTGAAAACACAGCTGTCCCTCCGTGAAGGAAATCCGCGTTTCCCCAAAATAATATCTGTATTTTCTCAGGGCCTCGTGACACTTCCACGGAAGGCACTGAGAAATGTTTACGCTGAGCTGCGCTCCGGGCAAAGCCTTGCCACGGATGCAGATGCGCGCTGCGCTGAAGACTGATGCAGTCTCCTCCTCCAAGGGCAAGCCAGGCCTAATCAGTCCTAGATAAATATTTAATGTTCCCGGCATCTGCGCCTGTGCGCACTTTGTCCTATATTTGCAAATACTCATAAAAAAAAAAGTTGTCACAGTCCTTTACTTCTAAAAGGAAGACATGAAGTTTGTTATAAAGCGGAGGCGAAAAAAAATAACCCTTTAATAAAGACAAAAACTAAACTGATTTGACTCAGGTAGACACACCGTTTTCTGAAGACGATAACATTCAGAATCCGCTACAATTCTTGAGTAGATGCTAGAGAAGTGAATCGAAGAAAAGCAGGCAGCTGTCTCGGTAGTAACAAAGCAGTTTTCAATCTTGCCAGAAAGAATTTCCCAGCGACCAGCAACTCACAGCCATCACACATGCTCACACGCTCACACAGACACAGCAATGAGATACCGTTCCTCACCAGGCAGAGCCCCCAACCCAGAGGGGGAGGGAGGAAAAGGCGGGAGTCACAGCTCCCTGAAAATGCCCCCTCGGAGCAGCCCAGAGGAGCCCCCACATCTTGATCACAGTGTTGCAGAGATCCTAAGACCCGCCTTTGCAGGCGGGAGTTGCTTGTCACTAAGCATTTCCCCTCATTCCACAGACCTCTGCCTCAGTCCCTGACATTCCTCCAGAACAGCACTAGAAACAAATACTAATTACCCTTGTCGCCGCACATGGAGAATAGAGGCACATTTTGCTGCTGGAGCAGCCCATTTTCCAGCTTCTGTCTCCAATCCCCCCGCCCCCTGCACTGCCCGCAAAGCGCACAGGTGGCCACGCCACCCACCAGCCGGTGTGTCTACTTCCAAAGCTCTGCCGGGAGGCGGGCCTTGGGTCCTGGGTTAGCCTTACTTCTCGTCCTGCAGGTTAGCGTCTGCCTCTGCCGCCTGGCCTCGCCTCTCAGCACACAGGCTGATGCTGCAGCGAGTGCCTTTGGCACAGGCAGCCTGCGATCACTTAAAGCCACAGCCCTTCATTTATGGAAAACGAGAGCCAGATGTCAGGCTGATCGATGGGCACTTACTTAAATCTCAGCTGGTGCAGGGGAAAGGAGGACTGATCTGCTCTGCGTGGATAATGGAGTGAGTGATTCTTAGATTTGTGAGCCCTGGGATGCCGCCCCTAATTGAGGTCACTAGATGGTCACACTAACAGGAAAGGGAAACTTGGTCTCTGAGAGCTGTATGTGGATGAGCCTATGAATTTGGTGAACAACCACAAAAGCGTGTGTGTGTGTGTGTGTGTGTGTGTGTGTGTGTGTGTGTTGTGACTTGGAATATAAAATGCCTTTCTATAACCAATGGTGTTTTCCGCAAGATTTCATTTGAATGCTTAGAATACGGTCCTCTGGCATTTTAAGAAAAAGTGTGAAATTCTGATTTGAGAGCTGGAGTTACCAACACACCCGCACTGTCATTTGGATATTTAACAGTGACTGGAATTTAAGAAACACTTTCTCACTGAGTCATTTTGGCCTCGATGGTACTCCGAATGCTTGATTTTTAAAATGCAGCACTGAGCTGTTCTGAAATCACAGATCAGTTAGTCCAGGTTTTAAAAATCAACAAGTAGCCCTAGCTGGTTTGGCTCAGTGGATAGAGCGTCAGCCTGTGGACTAAAGGGTCCCGGGTTCAATTCTGGTCAAGGGCACATGCCCACTTTTTGGGCTCAATCCCCAGGGGGCATGCAGGAGCAGCCAATCAATGATTCTCTCTCTCATCATTGATGTTTCTATCTCTCTCTCCCTCTCCCTTCCTCTCTGAAATCAAAACAATTATATATATTTTAAAAATCAACAAGTAATGGGTTTTCTAATGTAGAAATTAAAAGTCTGTGGAGAACCAACCTGAATAAAATTAGAAGAAAATTGAAAAATACATACACTACATACTTCTCTTAATCTCGTACATTCTAATGAAGCTTTAGTTTTGTTTGCTTAGTAATCTAGTTCAAGTATCGGCAAGTTTTGTCACTCAAGCGACAAGAAAATCAGAAGACAGCTTCACTAGATGCAAGCAATCCTGCAACACTTCCAGTTAACTGGCTTATAATTCACTTCTTCCAAGGGTGCCGTGATTGCCAACAGAAAGAAGAGCTGGCAAGAAGTTCTACCACTTTTCAAACTTCCATAAAAAATTAAGTTGGTATATAATTTCCAGGAGTCACTTTGTGAAAACGTGTACATCCTATCACAGATCTCTACCAGGTGATGGTTTTGCTGATTAAAGGGCCTTTGGGGACAAGGAGATTCAGTAGCATCTGCCGTTTCTCCCAACTCTACCGCACCCTACCCTCCTGCCCTCCGTGCCCAGAGCCATGGATACCTTCCAACCTCTGTCAACCCCAGGAACAGGAACAGGAACACCGTGAGGTCATCTTGACTCTTCTTTGTCTACCTGGGTGTGCCCAAGTCAGTTTTTCCTTCCTGGTGTGTCTTGAATTGCTCTTTCCTATTGGAACTACCTCCACCCTTGTCCCGATCCTCGCCAACCCTCCCTGGGCTGTGGGAAGCATCCCTCCACACTACCTGGCAGAGGGCTGCCACATCATCCCACATTCCTTGCACATCTAAACATCCGAGTCTTCCACTGATTTACATTAAAAAAATAAACATCACCCCGATTCCATGAACCTCAATCACGCAACTGCTCTTTAGACTCCTGATCCCCCTGTCCAAGGCATGCTCGTCATGCATGTCCCACCTACGCACGTAGGAATGCCTGGTCTGCTTCACCTGGGCCCTTATGCAAACCTTTGGGGAAGGCTACATGTCAATCACAGATACCCCTCCCTCTACCCCAAATGCCTAGACAGCACATTTATCCTTCTGAGTTGGTTGGAAAATTATTACTCAATATCAACTGACCAAGCACCAGTCCAGATGCTGGGAAAAAATATGAGAGAAATTTAAGACATGGTCCCTGCCTTTGAGAAGGTTGGCACGTAGATAGAACTAAAATGTCCAGGCCCCATTCTCTTATCATGTCTCAAAGCAGATGACCTCATCGGAGGGGAAGCAGTACCGGACAATGGAAAATCCAAGGGCTTTAACTATGATCCTCTGGGAAATGCTGGCCACAGAGCCCCAACCATAACAGTCCCATATGGTTAGTTTCTGCCCAACTCTTCCTGGTAGCTTGCCCTTTAAGACACTTTACCCTTTACTTCTAGATGACAAAATGTATTTTTACACTCAGATACTGATTGCTTATTTCTTTTCATTCAGCTGCTCCCATATCAGTGTTCCTGTCTTAGATCATAAAGTCATTACAGTCCAGATAACAAGTTTATTTCGTTCCCTTTGTAGCATATAACATGCAGAATTCCAAGAGGGAGGTGGGATTCCAGATAGAAAAATGCTTTTATACTCATACATTAAATATATGAAGTGCTCCAAGAAAAAAATGGATTCACCGCAATTTAATTAGGACGTCCTGGGCCACAGGCACTTAGCTAGCGTCTGGCTGGCATCCCATCAGCGGGCCTGAATTTGCTGGCTGTCGAAGAGCATGCGCAGCTCGGGGGTTTGCAGGAAAGAGCCATGTCAGACGGCTGAGATGTGGGCAACGCCCCACCTCCTTCCCGGTGCCCACACAATCGTGTCCACTATGTGTTTTGTTCAGAGACTATTTTACTTATAGTAGACTGCTTGTGTCATTCAAAATTCACCATTGTTTAGGTGCTACTTTACGTTAGATTCCTCCTGCAAAAATAGAATTGGAGGCACACTGGATAATCAGTGAGAGGTTCGGGGGGTGACCTCGATCCTGTTCAGGCTTACCTAGAAGCTCATCCACAGACCATTTTATGAATTGGGATTGCTACCAACCCTGTCCTCCCCTGGGGCAGTCTTCACAGAATGCTGTACAACTATGCAAGGGCAAAGCGAGAATTAGAATTAAAACACTACTGTGTCCTTTGGAGGAATAGAAAATGTGGTATTAGTTTCCAGATACATGAGACATTTCTTAGAACTTCCAGTATGTATTGAATTGTGCCTGCCCCTAAAGTGGGAAAGTTGCAGTTATTAAATAGACTTGCAACAAAAGGATAAAGTTAATGTTCCAGTATGCCCTATAATCAACAATTTTTACGCATAACCTAAAGCTCCAAAACTAATTAGAAAAAATTAGCAATAACAAGATATATATGCATATACAGATCAATCTACATCTACAAGATCTATATTTACAGGTCGACATATCAATCAATCAATCAATCAATCACTTCTGTAATAGAGGGTTAAGAGAAAATCGTTTTGAAGAAATTGCTTAACTTTCCCCCTGGTAATGTCTTTCTGTCCCAACTGTTTTATGACAGTGCCCTGCATACATTAGGCAATCAGTAAGTATTTGTTAACCTATACATATAAAAGCCTAAGCTATGACATGCACTGACCACCAGGGGGCAGATGCTCAATGCAGAAGCTGCCTCCTGGTGGTCAGTGCGCTCCCACAGCCAACCTCCCACAGCCAGCCAACCTCCCGTGGTCCTTCCCCTCTGGCCTGCCCAAATCGGCCCAATCGGGACTGGGTGAGATGGCCCCAATCTGCCCCCATTGTCAGCCAGGCCGAGGGACCCCACCCATGAACAAATACGTGCACCGGGCCTCTAGTTGATTATAAAGAGCTAGCAAAGAACATACACACTAAGACT